ATGTTTTTTTAGTGCTCCCTGAACTAGCTCTTCTGAGCACAGCTTAAAAAGTAGCAGAGAAAGCATTCACCCTCTTACTCCTTATTTTATCATAAGTTTATTTAACAGATCATTACCAACCGTTACAGAAGTGACTTAATTAAAATACAGACTCGATATAATTCCTTTCATATCCATATTTTTATCTCAAAGTAGTTGTAGGGGGTGGTCATATTGGACTATGTCAAATGCTTTGTTTTAATCAAGGAAATAGACTATTTAACATCCATACATCTTTGTGCGAATACGTAAAGAAAAAACAAGACCAAGTTTTTTGAATATCCTTTCATTGCATTCTTTAGCATCAATTTTTTAATAAAGTTACAAACATTGATACAAGCCATTCCTTTGGAGTAGCGGTTGTATCATATATGGTATTGTAGTATCTCTATGTGTGATTTGATAGTAACTTATGTGATTAATTTAATAATTTCTGCTAGTGTATGAGACTATACTAATAAAAAGCAAACGCATTCATGCGACGACATTGCCAAACATCTAAGATTACAGATATCTAGATGAGAAATTAACTTGGAAAATCTCTACATTAAGCAAAATACGAATGTTTAATGAAAGAACCTTCTTTTACTTCTATTGAATGAATGAAAGAAAAACTTTTAAGAAATATTTATTTAAAATAAAGTTTTTTAAAATTTAAGCTGAAAATGGGCTAAATAGTAAAATATGGCATTTTTAAAAATTAATATTAATGAATAAACAATCAATGAGAGTTAACAATTGCATTACTACGCTTTTTCGTGAAATTTTTGAGCTGTGGGTCTTACTGATTTTGGTTCTCTAAATATTAAATAGGATTAAATCCAAAGCTGTTTGTAATGTAAGCTGTTTCAAATGATAAGCTTTCTATCGTGTTCTTGTTGTTGTCAAGATTCCTGAAATAATGAATCCAATGCAAAAAGGCTTTAATTGTCTTTTTCCCATAATCTATTTTCTACCCGGTGTTATTTCCACTTTTTTCTTTCTCTTACCTTATAATTTTTATGTTGCTGATACCAAAAAGATTTTTAACAAAAAGTTCGAACTTTATATAATGTTTGTGCTTTTTAACTAACTGTACTCGTAAAAGTAAAAAAATTCAGTTTATTTGGTAGAAATGTGATTGTATACCGATAGTTTTACTGAAATTAATTGACCAATGCTCAAATATTTAGACTGTAATTTGTTTGCAACAAATCCAGTTTAAAGTTTAAATATTCAGGATGTCTATGTATGTTTGTAATGTTAGTAATGACTGAGCTTTATATAGATTGTTAATTAGTGCAATTATGTATACATCAAATACTTTATATACAGTGTGTTAATATTTGTTGAATAAACAATTGTAAAAATCTATATTGTGTTTATTTTAATTTTATAGGTAGTTGGTTGTTAAAGTCATAACATATTACCAATAATTTGTTTTATTATTTTTATTACAATTATTAATAAAACACGAAAATATATGAGTCAAAAGAAAAGGCAAAAAAGTATTTTTTGAAGTGTGTATATTTTTAATAATTCCTAGCTAAGCGCTTTTGGCTTTACAAAGCCATCATCGGAGCTAATGGTCAATTTATAAATACCACTACAATGGAGAGATCTCATTTCCTTATATGTTGAAATATTGATTTTTTATTTAATTACTTAGTTGTTAAAATTCTTAAAAAAACATATAAAAAACCGACACTGGACTTCACAGACACATTAAAAAATTGAAAAAAAATTTTTTTGTCATGGTACGGGTGTAAGAACCCGACCATTGATTGCTGTGAGGAGGTAGACAGAATAGTTCTATATATAATTACTATTCTGTTTATATATAATACAATTACTCAAATAAAACAAGTTTTTGGTCTCGTCCGTTTTCCATTGAGATGCCAGCTAAAACAGGTTGTTTCTTTTGATATCTAAACACACTTCGATAATATGTTACCGCCAATTTAATACTTTATACTAATACCGTCTTTTCTCAATTTAAAAATTTTATTTTTTGACGACCACAACTGGTCATAAATGTTTTTTTCTAGTACCATTTCTAGTACTCTTCGCTAATTTATTAGAAAAAACAAGTTTTTTGTCTACCTAGAACTGGGTCGATAATGTTTACTTGATCTCGGAACTTGTAAAAGGGCAATAAATCTTTTAGTTTTATTATTATACATCTTTTTCGTAAATGTATAGAAAAAGTGGCTTATTATAACATACGTTGAAACGTTTAAAGTTGGTTAAAAACTGTTGAAATTGGGCGGTTCTTTTTTCATGTAACACGACATCTCGAAGGCCTCGAACTTTCCTAAAAACTCCTTAGAGACCGTCCGTGTTTCTACTCCGTATAATAATGTAGAAAATACATAGCATCTGATGATAGAGATTTTGGTACTAAGTGGTAAATTGCGACTTCTGAAAATTGGCTTCATCTTTACGAACGCTGATATTGCTTTTCCTATGCGTTGTTTTACTTCAGTAGAGTATTCCCATTGACTGTTTATGTTAGTACCAAAATATATTTATCTGTTTACCCTATTAATCACTGTTGCTTTACCAAAGATGTATACCTAATATTTCGCGCTTTCTAACTACCATGTATTTTGTTTTGTTCATATTAAGATCCAGCCCAAATTCTGTACTTATATCTGATATGCTCAACGTTACATGTTTGTAAACCATCTAGGCTATCTGCAACAACTACTACGTTGTGAGCATATCTAATGTTGTCTAGACGCACTTCGTTAACTAAGATTCCTTCTTGTAGTTGTCCTAGTGCTTGCTTGAAGATACGCTCTGAATACATGTTAAATAGCACTGGAAACAGAATACATCATTGTCTCACTCCTCTATCTATGGAGATTGTCTCTGTTAATTGGTCATGCACTTTAATGTTGACAGTTTGGTTATTTTAAAAACCATCCAAGCTCGTTTCTTTTAAGATGGATATGAGTTTGTTATGTTTAACTCTATCAAATCCCTAGTTATAGTCCATAAAATAAATATATACATCACATTTGACATCCCTGCACCTCTGGATAAGCACTTCTACCGAATAGAGCTTCTCGGGTGCCTAAGGTATCGCGGAATCCAAATTGTGTCCATGACATTTGGATCATGTCCATGTTCTTTACATTTTTTATATATTCTGTTAGATATCACTTTTAAAAACTTTTTAAGTAGGTGCTTCATTAGGCTAATTATTCTGTAGTCTTCGCATGTTTTTGTATTAAATTTTTTTGGCATAATTATGAAGATCGATTTTAACCAGCTTTGGGGAATATTTCCAGTTATATGTATTTTGTTGAATATAGGCGTTATTCATTTTATTCCTTGTTCGTCCATAAGTTTCAGAAAACCTGTATAAAATTTGTGAGGCCCCACAGATGTACCATCTTTTGTTTTTCTAATAGCTGCCGTGATTTCTTCAATGGTAATGCCCTGTCTGGCATTCTATCTCTTCAATGACAATCTGCCTTTCATCTGCAAATGATACTTCCAAATATTTCTTTCAAGTGTCTAGCCTCTCTTCCTACAGTTGGTAATGGATTACCTTGGTTGTCTGCCAAACATCCAACTCTTCTAGGCTTACATAAGCCTTCAGTTTCTTTAACTGTTTTGTGCATATTGAATCAATCGTGTTTCTGTTGTTATAGCTGTATTTCCGTACATTGTTCTCTCAGCTGTGTGTCCTTAGACTTCTGATTGCTTTTTTGATATCTTTGTCTATTTTTTTGTATAACGTCTTTGACCTTTTGCCTCCCTTCTATCATATCTAGAATATCATTTGTCATCCACGATTTTTTCTTAATTTTTGTTGGTTTGAGGAATTTTTCTTGTATGTCTTGTGAAATTCTGTGCAAGTTTTCAAGCTCCTTGTCCAATAAATTCATTTGAATAACAATATTTAAATTACTATGCATAGACTCTTTTACACTCTGTTCTATGCGTTGGTCTTTGATTAGCCTGATGTCGCATTTTGGCTTGACACTACGTCGAATTTTCTTTAGCCTGACCCTCATTTTGCAAATCAGTTTGTGTTATGGTCTGACTTGATATCGGCTCCTGGGTATGTCCTGACTGATATAATGCTGATACGGAAACTTTAACTAATCATATTGTAATAATTAATCAGAAGTTGATTTCTAATTACCAATGAAAAAATTTGAAAATCAATAGTCAAATTCCACATTCTAAATAGTACTAAATATAAAGATACATTACGTCTACCTGAGAAATAAATATTTCAAGTCACCAGGTATAATGGAGCAAACACTTTTTAATATATTACTAAAGTATATTCAAATTGTGTAAGACTAACATTACAAGGAAACATTAGGGAAAACGAGGACCTAGTAGAAAATAACGTTCGTGACTAAGAAATAAAAGGGCCTGGTGTGAAACAGTAGGTACTGCTACTACTATATTTAGACAGGCCGAAGATAATATTTTGATCGCCTTACAACCATAGAAAAGAATTGAATATTTGATTGCCGACGAACACCTTAGCACATGCCACTAGAAGAAGAATAATAAAACTAAGCACGTGGTGTTCGTGTATCAAGGTATAAAAAATGCTTGTTAAAAGCTTAAAACTTTATTTTAAAGAAGGTCTTTTCCGAATTAAATCATTCCGAACAACAAAAACAAATTGACAAGAAGTGGATTTACGTGGAAGGTAAATACAATAAAGGTAAATACCTTTGTAAATTCAACGAAGATTGTTTTTGTTACTGATGTCCATCTAGTGTTTTTCTGTGTGTTTTTAACAACTTTTTATTAAACTGATGATGGAATGATTTAATTCCGAAAAGATATTCTTTAAAATAAAGTTTTAAGCTTTTAACAAGCATTTTTATACCTTGATACACACGAACACCACCTGCTTTGTATTCAATAGATATACTAGCCACTCCTGGATATCTCCACTTCATGGTTTTGTTACAGTTTCATTTTTAATAATAAAACTCTTAGTATAAAACTTAAACTACATTTATTTAAAAAGAACAACAAACTGGTAACAATATTTACAATAAATAATATCTAACACACATTAGTTTATTTAATTTTACTCGAAACCTTTCTTTTATGGCTGTCTTTTGAATAAGCTGGAGCATGTTTCTTCAAAATATTGTGTTCGCTGCCGTACAGTGAATGGTGGCTTATTTCTCCAAAATCTTCTTCTTTCAAAGGTGGATACAACGGTTCCTCCTTGTGTACCTCGACAGGAACAATTTTTTCCTTTTCGTGATAATAGTGGTGGTGCTCTGGAACTTTTATTATTTTTGTGTGATAAATAGTTTTGACTTTGTGTGGGACATGAATCCGGTGATGCACACTAAAATAAAGAATGTTTTTTGAATAATTTGAATAAGAAACACAGATCAAAATAAAACTCAGAAAGAATTAAAAGTACGATATTATAAACATTATGTCATTAGTAAGTATACTAGTATAATGTTTGACTATATCCAGGAAATCCTTCGTTTTGTTCCTAAATTTTGTAAAAAATCAGTCACTGATCAGTTCACTGTCACCACTGAAGTGATCCGGGACCAGTGTAGTAGTGTCTGGGGGCTCGGGAGACCTGAGATCTCAGAAGCCCTGAGGAAGACATCAGAGAGGACGTCGAAAGCTCGGCCCAATGGATATCGACGCGGTTCAACGCGGAACACTGGTGAGTTTAATATTAATTTTTGTAATAGTATTAATCTTAGCTCTAGGTTTCATTGTACTAACCGCGAAAATCTTTCCGAACATATATATATATATATATATATAATATATATATATATATATATATATATATATGTTCGGAATATAAACAAATAAAACAGATATATATATATATATATATATATATATATATATATATATATATATCTGTTTTATTTGTTTATATCGACAGTCAATAATATCCAGTATTTCTTGTATATATATATATATATATATACTACTGTATACTATATATCTACTTACTGATGGTGAGTGTGTCCAGGTGCTGAATCCACTTGGACAAGCATAAATAACATCAAGAATACGACCTAAAAATTAAAAAATCCGTTAAAAAAATGAATAAGATAGGTATTAGATAAAAAAGAGCAAAAATCATCTTTTAGGTGTTAATAAACTATATATCATACTATTAAATAACATTAAATTATCGTGTTAGTGTAATTTGTTGCAATTTGAAAACTGAAGAATATAAATTTAAATACAAAAAGTTATATTGGTTATTATGTAGAAGCTCACAACTTACAATCAAAAACAATGTATTAGTGTACCAAAAAATACTCAAACCAATATGATAATACGGTTTACAGATATGGGGCTGTACCAGTGAAAGTTACTATGCTTGCCTTCAAATAGTCCAAAACTGAATTAACTCGAAGTAAGGAACACAATAAACGCTTCGTGGCATATCTGCAACAATGTATACGTATGGGAACTCCGTACTTACTGTACGAAGTAATAATTAAAAAAGAAATAAAGAAGATTGCCAAATGTCAAGAAAACCTACTCCATAACCATACATAGAGAAAAGTGTTGGAGCTGCTAGATAATCAAGACCTAGTTCTCAGGATCAAACGCACCAAACCTTTCGAACTCGTGTTCTTGTGATAAATGTATAAATGTCGTTTAAATTCAGGCACTTCACCTAGCCACAACAGTGAAGTGTGCAACAATAATTATTAGATTTTAATGTGAACATTGGAAATACATAAGAAAGTAAAGTAGCAGATTACGTTTCTCTAATAGAGAAGAAGAAGGGGAGTAAAGATGCATGTGACAATTATCAAGGAATCGCAGTCCTTAGCACCATTTCGAGAGTGTACGGAAAACTCATCAAAAAACGGATCTACCGATCAAAAAGAGAATACAATATGAATTCTGCGATATGGAAGCCAAAGAACAGGTCGGCTTTAGAACAGGTAGATTAACTATTGACCATCTGTTTACTGTTACCCAGCTAATCAAAAAAAAGTAGCACGAAATCAACCAATACATCTTCTCAAACCTTAAAAAAGCTTATGATGTGTGCCACAACAAAAACTCTGGGAAGCTCTCGAGAAGACAAATATTAGTGTAACATTAATCAACGCTGTTCAAGACCTCTACAAGAACAACACACGTAAAATAAAGAAAGGTCAGGAGGTATCCAAGGGTTTCACTATTAGCAAAGGATTTAAAGAAGGATGCTGCATGTCTCCTAAGTTTTGCAGACGACCAGATAATGATGACCCAAGACTATGAAGACCTCGAATATGACCCGTAAACTTATCAAAGAACACTAACTATGGGGGCTAGTAGTAAATATCAAGAAAACTGAATACATGTGTATTGGGGAAATACAACAAAATCAAATCTTAGAAGAAATACAGCGAAAAATAAATCACTGTCAAAAATACATATATTTAGGCATGCAAATAACCAACGATGGCAAATTAGACGAAGACATTAAACATAAAAATCACCAGGGAAGGCAAGCCATTAGTCAATTAAACGGTGTACTGTGTGACAAAATAATCTCCAAAGAAAACAAACACAAAATTTATAATAGCATTATAAAAAGCATTGTTCAATATGAAAATGAGGTATGACCAGTGAAAGAAAAAAACTTAAAAGCATAAGAAGCAACAGAAATGGACTTCTGGAGAAGAGCGGCTGGAAAATCAAGATTAGACAGAGTTAGAAAAGAAAGAATACGAGAAATTATCGGTGTTAAGCACAATATAACTGAGGACATCTTCTTCTTCTTTTTCTCACAGCACTAAAACCTAGAGTGGGTCTTGGCTGACTGCACAACTTGCTTCCATCTTGAACGGGCATCCATAATAGTTGGATTAGTGTGTAGCCCCATTGTTCTTACATCTGACCATATATTGTCTCTCCATCGCATTCGTGGACATCCTAAGGGCCTTCTTCCTGTGGGGCTTCCTCCCATATTAACTTGGCAAGGCGGTTATTAGGGAATCTATGGACATGGCTAATCCATCTTAGACGTTGGGATTTATTCTCTCAGCATTTGTTTTCATTCGGTATTGGTGGCTATTATTGCCGTGATAAGGCCCAAAGATTCTTCTTAGGATTTTCGTCTCACAACATCCAAGTTTTCTTTGAGTTTCTTTGGTCAGGGTCCACGTCTCACACCCATACATGAGCACCGGTCTAATAACCGTTTTATATATTCTAATCTTTGATGTTCGTGTTAGTTACATTTAATAGTATTGTGGGAGCTGTACATACATCTGTTTGCTGCCTGAATTATTCCTTTAATCTCTTCCGCGGACATCAGAATAAATCAACTAAGATGGTATGGACACGTCCAAAGAATGGATGAACACACAATACCAAAGAAAGTATTGAACTGGATACCGCATGGAAGAAGAAAGCAAGGTAGGCCGATATTAAGTTGGAAAGAGGGAATCGATGAAGACGTAAGGGAGATGGGAGTTGAAAAAAACTTTTGGAACGACCGAGATAAATGGAGACTGGTAATTAGAAGACGGCATAGAACGTTATAAATAGATGATTAATTGATTGTTCCTCTAATAAATAAAAAAAAAGGTGAGCAACGTGGCTAGAAACTACTTTTTTATTCAAAAATTTATATCATGCTAATATTCCTGTCTTTAGTTATAATCTAATGTCAAAATAGAATAAATATAAGTTAAAATTAAAAAATATTAGTAAATAGAAGATTTTAAAATCACACACTCTCACTAATAAATTTAAACAATCAATAGACTGCCTAAGTTTGACGTCACAATGAGCGGGGAATTTAAAAACCTTTCCAAACATTTCTAATTTGTGTGTATTTGTCCCATAGAAGTTGGAAATATTGGTTTTTCTAATTGTTTAATTAATAAATAAGGACTTTTGGTTATGAACATTTATTCTGTGCCATTGGTATTATTTTTTGTTCGTGACTTTGTGAGGTAAGAATATCAAAGTATAAAAATATTCACTATAAATGTTCATATTTTAAGGTTATGTTATTTAAAACTTTAATTATTTTATTTACTGTATTTCAAGGTATTTTGTTGTTGTTTTAATCAGGGTTATTTTGAAATAAATCAATAAATCATTTACTTACGAAGTTGAAAAATATTTAAATTATCATTTTAGTTAGTTTCCTTTTGCGTTGCTAGTGATTTTATCTTGTTAAACACAAAAGATATTCTTTTTTTCGTAGTTTAAGTTGTAATATAATATTGTGTGGAAACCTTTCTATCGAATTATCATAATAGATGTTAAATTTTTTTTTTTGAACGTTCTAATAGTTTTTGAGTTTATTTTTTTGGTCTGGGCATATAGTGGCTAGTAAACATGTGTTGAAGATATCCAGTATTACTGATTTTTTAGTAATGGCAACAAAACCACTATTAACTATATAAACTACGAGAAAACGAATATATTTAGTCTTTTAGGAGATAAAATCACTTGCACTTAAAAAAGATTAAAACAATAATTTAACTATCTTTTATTTTAGTTAACCCCGATAAAAACAACAACAAAATACCTTGAAATATAGTAAAAAATAATTAAAGTTTTAATAAAACCACAACATAACCTTAAAATATGAACATTTAAAGTAAATATCCTAATCCTTTGATATTCTTACCTCACAAATTCACGAACAAGAAATAATATCTACCAATCACACAGAATGAATGTTCATAACCAAAAGTCCTTATTTATTCTTCAAACAATTAAAAAAACTAATATTTCCAACTTCTTGTGGAACAAATTTACACAAATTAAAAAAGGTTTTTTAAAGAATTTTAAAATCACCGCCTATTGAGGCATCAGAGCTTAGGTAGTCAATTTATGAACATAACTTTAGTGGTACCTAACTGTGGTTGAAGATATAAAAGCGAAATCGTAGTAGAATTAGAATAATAGAAGATTAAAAATAATAAAACAATAATAAGTGATATTCTGCTAAAAAAAATAAAAAAATAATGTGTCATCTACAAGAAACAACAAATTCATAAAGGTAAAAATCCCTTTTGAGAAAGTTACTACCGGAAATATAAGGAATCTGAACGGAAATACCACAGAAAACACAATAAAAAATAATGGTAAATGATTGTAGGTAATAAGAACAAACGAAATATTTTAATACATGATCTAATGTATGTAATTTAAAATAAAGGTGGAAATAGATTCTGAGCACGTTCCTGCTGAATATAGATGTAAAACTCGTATCAACGCTTTAAGAATAAGGACAGATATTAACAAAATAACATGATCACTTTGGAACTCTGAGGACCTCATTACTTATTTTATATATAAATAACTAAAAAGCACTAATAGAGAAAAAACGATTATATATTAGAGATCAATATTAGTAATAGATTTAGGATAATATTGTATACAAAATAATGACTAATAAAAAAATAGTACAAATTGTAAGATTGGCGAATGGATTTAGTGTCCGTAGTAATTTAAACACAAACAAACAACAACAACAAATGAAAAACAAATAAATTTTACTATGTTAAAAAATCCCTATAATGTACGCCACAACAAATACGGTTCTCCTTATTCAAGCCCATAATTCAAGTCCAAACCGTTCCCAATTTTTACCAAAAACATTAGTGAAAACTTTTCCGTTATATAATAAATCAAACTCCAATTATAACTGTGTATTTATCGATAAATCGACTTGTAGGAAGTATAATATCTACACGGATAATTTCTCGGTTCGCGTAAGAGTGAAACTTGTACTCACGCCGACCAGTTCCATTCCTGATTTTCACTGTTAAAGGCAGCTGAGAAGAAGTTGAACAATGACACTGAACTTACGTATCAGCCATCTGGTATATATATTAAATACCCGAAGTGGGGTAAAATACCTATAAAATTACGGCTCCATGAAGGATGTTATAAACTGAGTTAATAGACAAGAAAAAATTTTGATTTTTACACGCAAATAGTATAATAACATAGAGAAAGTACTATTCAAATTTTACCTTAATTTAATAATAATAATGTTCATAGCATCAATATCTATATTTCCGTACAATTGTTATATTTT